CGTCAGCAACGTTAATTAAAGTTATCCCATTAAATAATAAATAATCTATATAACAAAAAAAAACAAAAACATAAACTATCAAAAAATAATCTCAAGTGATCCAAGTGAATATGTTAGGGATTTACTTATTTATGACAAAAATTTTAATCTGAACAGTCGAGAAGAAATATAAAAAATGATAAAAAATGGAAATATATATATATATATATATATATATATATATATATATGTATATATATATATATATGTATATATATATATATATATATATATGTACATGTATATATATGTATATATATATATATATATATATATATATATATATATATATATATATATATATAAATATATATATATATATATATATATATATATATATATATATATATATATATACATATATCGTTATAATATCGTTATAATGATAGAAATACAATTTTATCAGATAATGATAAAATATTAAATCTTGATTTAACTCAAACTTATTTTCATATTATATTGTATTTTATTTAAAAATAAATCTCCATTTCTTGATCAACGCCTCTTTTAAACTTAAATCTTCCTTCCTTTTCCTACTTGCTAATTTCTCTAATAAACATAAACATTGGAATATGTAGAGTCAAGCTTGAAATCTCTGTTAAAATGCAAACATCTAATTTTTTTAAAACAGTATGTATATATGCATGTACATAGAGTGAATTTATTACGGAGCAAAACCCGTCATTTCTACCTCTGATATTTAGCTAATATTTATAAAATCAGCTAATTTAAACATATGCTTGATAGTATATGCTTAAATATACTTAAAATAGGAGTTAATATCATCTGCTTTGTTTTAATCCAACACATTAACAAAGTAGAGACTCATTAATATATATTTTTTTCATTGCAAATTCATTTTGAATAAACAAAATCTGACAAAATTGCTTCAATTTACTTTTAAAAATAATGTCAGTGTTTTCATTTATGTTATTTGACATTATTTTAAAGAGTAAGGTAGGGCAAAAACGTCATAAAAGTTTTTAAATTTATAATAGTTTGGAAAAGCTTTCAACACATTTGATGCAGCTTTAAATCATTAGCGTGAATAGAAATTACTGAAGTTTTATTATTTTTAAAATAAAGCAACATCCATAAAATATTTCATTAAGATGTTAAGAAAATGTTATCATATCGTTTGATAAAATGTATCAAACGATTTTCTTAGACAGTCTGATGATGTTGATGACTGATGTTATTTTTATATTTGAAAATGCCAAACCTTTTTTCAAAATGCAAAGAAAAAATTTCTGATTTGAGAAATTTTGTTTGAGATAAAAAAAAAATTAAATTTGTTAGCTCAAAGTTTTTTTTATTTTTAGATAAAATAAAAAAAACTTTGAGCATTAATGTAATTATGGTTATCATTGAAAATTTAGCTACTTTTTATGCAAAGTTTTAATTATTTCGAACCTTGTGAAGTCAGAGTAAACAAACAATTTTTTGATTATAGCCACATAAATAACTTTCTCTGAAGTTGGTAAAGATTTTTCAAAAATATGTGAAAATTGCGTCAACATAAATACCTAAATGCTTTTTCAAAACATTTTAAGAAGCCTAATACCAACTCCATCTTTAATGCCAATCAATTGTAAAATTTGAAAATGAACCTTATGACATATTTAATCAAACTTTAAAATTACTTTGAAAATACTGATTTCATTACTTTATTTACTTTAGAAGCGAGCGTGAAACTTACAAACTTTCAATTGAGTAGTCGGCATTAAACCTGAAAATGTTTTAATTAGATCGGACTTACCTGGACCAACATATCTTTATCCTAGGTGAGAAGTCTCTGAAAGCAGTTTCAAAAACCTAGGGTTTTGAAGCAAACAAGCATCAGTAACAATTCAACACATTGAATAAGGCTATCAAATAAATTGCTCACAAATGAGTTTTGATCATACCCGACGGGCATTTGTTTTTAAAAGTTACGTTCTAAATGTGTTTTAAACGTCTTTTAAACGTCTTTTAAACGTCTTTTAAACATTAATGTTTAAAAGACGTTTAAAAGACATTTAAAATACATTTAGATCGTAACTTTTAAAAACAAATGCTCGTCGGGTAGTAAATAACAATGCCAATATATTTTTATTTTATTTTTAACAACCAAGCCAATATTTCTATTTTTATTCGAATAAGAAGTATGTAATCTAATGTAATTAGAGATTAATTATTTAAAAAAAATTGTTTAGTCGTTTTTTTGTTTTAATATTCACTTTAGGTTAGTATATTTTTTAGATTATTTTAAAATATTTTAAAAAATAATGGTAATACTTATTCTTATCCTTCCCTAATCCACACTTATTCTTATTGTCTGCTGTTTACATATACTTCTTACAAATAAACCTTGTTCCCTTATGTGCAGCAATACTAATTTGGTAATATCTTCTATTATATTAATATATTATGTATTTGTTATGCACCGTAATATATATAAAAATTTGCTATTTACTCTATTAGACAATACATTTATATTTGCTATGCACTTTATAAAACGCAATTACTTTTTTATTATTTGCATAGATTTGTTAATTACTTAAATTGTTAAAAGTATTACAACACATCTACATCAATTTTTTTTAATACGCTGCATATCCTCCACATTCGCTTCCATACTTTATAAGTGAATTTTTGAAAAGAGCAAAATGTAATTTTTATGTTACATTCTACCCTTTTACAAATCTTAACTTTTTTTGATCAATTTTGGTTATCAAATACAAATAATTTCTTCACCAAACGTAATCAAAAACTAATATCTCACATCGCAATAAAGAGACCTACAAATTTTAACAGCAAAAAGAATACTAAGCACTTTAAAAATGAAATCTCTCTAATTAAATCAAAAAAATCTAAAATCGCTCTATAATTTAATATGCTTAAATATTTCAAATTTGTTTATATTAATTTACTTTCAATTCAAACAAAGATCTTTTTTGTTATTTTTTCCCCAGATTTCAGAATAAATTAGATATTAATGCTTTGATGTTTAAAAGATATTCTTAAAACAATAAGTAATCATATATTTTTCTGTTTTTTAATTTTACACAATTTACACGTTTACTTTTATAAACTATTTTAGGCTTTAATTTATATGTATACAAATAGTATTGCGTACTAAGGTAAACAATCTGACGTCATACTGAAATAGCCTGCTGCTGGGGCTTCAGTACATACATCGACTGACAAATAGCCTGACTCGCAGTGGAGTGCTGCTACATCGACTGAGGGTTTTGGATGGGGCAGCAATCGTTTCATTTATCATTCATCGTTTTTTTCCTTCTTTTTCTAAAAAAGCCCTACGGGTTAAGGTGAGCAAAAAAAGTGAGCAAATGCTTATAAAAATACGCTTTAGTAAGTGTACATATATATATATATATATATATATATATATATATATATATATATATATATATATATATATATATATATATAATAATAATAATAATAATAATAATAATAATAATAATAATAATACAATTAATAATAAAATTTTATGAACTTTTTACATAATCGTTTTTATATAATAAGATTTAAAACAATGGGTACAAGAAACTTATTATTATTATTATAAAAAAACTGTCTAAGAATAATGTAACCATACTGTTTTTATCATCAGAAAGCATTTTCATGTTATAGTAAAAATGCTTTTTTAACATAATGCTAAAATAAAGTTTTATCTACATTTTACAGTACACTTTTGGTACAACAAGACAAGGTGTTTATAAAAATGAGGATACTTGATATATTAAGGAAAAAAAGACCAGGATAACAAAAAATATCAAGACTTGCAATATTCTGCATTTTATTGAAAATAATATGAAATTATTCATAAATCAGCTTCAATACAATTCAAGATAAAATAGACCTTATCGACTGTCAATTAATTTTCAAAAACTTAATCCACATATTTTCTATGATACCAATTCAAAAAACAAAAGAGTTAAATTAGGTCAGGGGCGGGTCCAGCATTTTTTGGTCTTTGAGATTGTATACTTTCAGACATGGAGCAAACTTCAAACTTTTATATGTTTATACTTATGTCAAATAAGGATGCTTTGCAAAAAATTGCGATGATTGGAGGTTTGGAACAAAAAAGTCCCAAAATTTGCGCCCCTCTGCCCCAATTGTGAGAGCAATAAGTTGATGAAATAATTTTTATTTTATTTTTAACTAGACTTATATTCATCGATAAATTTTAAATTTCATAGTAAAATAATTTAGTGTTCAAAAATTATGACCATATAAAGTTTAAACCCCCCTCAATTTGCGGGAGTTGCAAATTTTATATGGTCATAATTTTTCAACACTAAATTATTTTACTATGAAATTTAAAATTTATCAATGAATATAAGTCTAGTTAAAAATAGTCTAAAAATTATTTCATCAACTTGTTGCTCTCACGTTTGGGGCAAGGGGCGCAAATTTTGGGGCCTTTTTGCTTCCAACCTCAAATCATCGCAATTTTTTGCAAAGCATCCTTATTTAACATAAGTATAAACATATAAAAGTTTGAAGTTTGCTCCATGTTTGGAAGTTAGCAATCTCAAAGACCAAAAAATGCTGGATCCGCCCCTGAATTAGGTGCAGGAATAATGCAAGTTCAAGAAGTCTAAATACATTCTTGCAAAATTATCAGTTTTTATGAAAACCCGCCAAAACTTAAACAGGTTTGTTCAAGCAAATAAAAACAAATATATTTTGTTTTATTTTTTAAGAAAATAGTTTAACTTACCAAACAAAAGTTTATTAGTTGTTTACTACTATTATATATATATATTTCAATTTTCTTTTAAAATGTAAAATTAACAGTCCATTTCTACCTGCTATTATGGTGATTACATAGAAGTTGTGTTTTAGTTACAAAAAAATCTTCAGTTTTTCTCATTCATAATATATTTGGTTAATAAATAAATTAAATTCTATTATCTTTTAAAAAAATCGCTTTGGTTTTATGTAATACATATACACAGTTAATAATAATTTATTAGTAGTATAATAGTATAGTTACGAAATTAACGCAAACATGGGTTATTTCGTTTCAGTTTAACACGAGTCAAAGTTGTATTAAACCTGTGATTATTCGCCTAAGGTTATACTCTATTTGTGAGTGAAAAGAACATTGCTGACAAGTTATTTTGTGTGCAGTTTATCTTATGATTTTATACGAAAAAATCAAATTAATTTGCAACCATATTGCCACTATCATTAGCTTGCGCCATTTTCTATTTGCAATAATGTTTGTTTTGTTGTTTTTTACAACTTTGACATTTTACTTCACAGCACCATATAAATTTACAGGCGCAGTTTTCTGTTGTAAACACTTTTTTAGTGTAATGTCCTTTTTCACAACACAAACGACCGCATTCTTTTGAACTATTATCGTCTTTGATGCATTCTCGACCTTCCGTTCCAAATGAACCAATTGATAAGTTTTTATTACAGTAGCTAGGAGAGTCATCAAGGTAAATCATGTCTTTTGAAGTATATATATCAATATTTGAGTTAAACTGTACAAGTTTTGTAATTTCTGTATCATTTTTTTGACCGCTTTGAGATAATTGGACATGAATAGCACTTTGATGGAGTTGCTCTAGCTGATATCCAACATCTTTAAACTCTGAAAGTTGTCGGTAACAAGTCTTTGTGGCACAATTTTTAGAGACTCCATGACAACGGCATTGGATCTTTGACTTTTCAAAAACTGCCTGAAAGGTATAAATTTTGAAGTTTTCAAGGTTATTTTTATAATGATAATTTAAACAACTTTCAAAAACTATATTTTCTCATACACAGTTTAGTGAACTCGTATACAGATTGGTAAATCATATAGCTGAAATATTATCATGAAATACATTAGATTACAAAAGACTTAATATTAAAAGACAACAAAAGTTCTTACATAAAAAACAGCTCTTTACATAACATCGTAATTATTCAGAAAGTTAAAAAAAAATGTTATATAATATAAAAAGAGGTGCGATAAGCTAAGAAATACTAGGAACAATTAGAAAATGCGTTAAAATGAACTACTCTCTTATTATCCCAATAAATGACTGCGGTAGTGGTGAAGTGGTAGAGCGCTCGCTTCATAAACGAGTGGTTCCGAGTTCGATCCCCACCACGTCCCTGGTAGTACCGCGCTCAACTCGTTTCTCCGCGCAGCGGCCTTGTTCGTTAAGGTTCGTGTTTCGGAGTTATAGAGTTGAGAGAGGGTTATAGCCACAAATAAGTAGCCTCCTCGTCTGTAGTGGCCTTCTCGGCCTTGAGGAGGTGAATTAAAATTAAAAAAAAAAAAAAATGACTAATATGGATTACGATAATGGAAACTTTAAAATATTCAGAGGCATTTATTAGCACTCCCATTCACATAAAATATAAATATTTTTTAAGTATCCTTTTTAGGAATTTACATCAGAAAATACACACTAACTAGAAAAAATGAAAAAAAAACATACCCATCTCCCTGCTTCGTTATTGTGAAGGTTCATTAACACTCTTCCAAAATTAAATGCTGAGTCTTTTAAAATGGTTTCCTTTGAATCAACAAATTCTTTGCTGAATTGATAACCATAAGGTAAGTTGTCACCGCATCCGTTCCACATATCTGTTTTAGGAAGGTTTTCTGGTTTTTTTTCTTGGCTGCACGAGCAGTGTGACGACAGTTTATTTTCCATGCATGCTCGGCTAATTGAGTGCATAGTTGCCGCGGCAATAATTGAATGAACAAATGCTGTTTCACGAGTTCCTAAACAAAATAACAAAATAAATCATTTGTTTCTTGTTGGTTTGAACTTATTTTGCGTATAAATTAAAGGAGCTATTTTAAATACTAATGGAAAAAAATTTCTAAACTTTCTGTTATATATATATATATATATATATATATATATATATATATATATATATATATATATATATATATATATATATATATATATATATATATATATATATATATATATATATATATATATATATATATATATATATATATATATAGTGAGATTACCAAGTGGCATGTAAGGATGAAGAAACGGAATAATATTAGGTTCCGGAAAAGTGCAGTTCCATCTTCTGTCACTAAATTGTTTCATGCATTCTTCAATTGCAATTCTTCTGCCTTCGATAATATATGCCATGTGATCAGAATTTGTATTGCATAATTTAATTTGCTTTTCTGTTAAACTTCTTCTTTTGTCGCATATCTTTATATCGGGAAACACGCTGCCACTCAAGAAATTCGTTAACATCCACCTAAATTAGTTTTAAATATTTAGAAAAACAATCGGAATAAAAAATTAGAAAAACAATCGGAATAAAAAATATGTTTTATTTTTTCTGCAGTTTCAAAATATGTTCGAATTACAGGAGTTTTCGAATTATAAGAGTTTAATCTTCAATATTAAACCCCGAAAGAACCAAAGATTTTGTTCGATTTAAATGATCTTTCGGATTATAAGAGTTCCTCTTCATTTGCGTGGTTTAAATAACGTCTATTAAATAAAATACTAATGCATAATATCCAAAAAAATGGTAAAGTTTTTTGCAACGTTTTTCAATAAAAAAATTTTTTTTAATTAAATTAAAATTTTTTTTTTTTTAAATTTGCTGTGATGCTGAGATGGTTGACTTTATTAAAATAAAAATAAACTTGAAAAAATGAAAAAAAATCTTAAAAACTATTTCGGCACTTTTGTCTTTACTGGAATATTCTCAACTGATAAATTAACATCTTGCTTGAAAAATATTCTTTAATAATATTATTTATAACTGTTTCAAATAGTTAATGCAAATAATTTATCTATATCGTTGTTGCAAAAATTAGTTATTGTGTTAAAATTAAAACGATTTGAACATTTTAGCCTTTTATTTTTGAAAGTGGCATAAGTCACATTGCTTTTAAACTGAGATTTTTAAAGGTTTGTGTTTAAACATGTTTAAAAATATTGTTGCCAACTTTCGCGAAGGTTTACTTGTATTTGCTGTCTCAGGATATTTAAATTTTTATTAGTACAAATAACTTCTTGTGTCATGGTTATAAGTGGCAACGCCAGCATTTAATTGTCTTTGAGATAACTAACTTCCAGACATGGAGCAAATTCCAAACATTTATATGTTTATAGTCAACTTATTCCTACTTATGTCAAATAAAGATGCTTTGCAAAAAATTGCGATGATTGAAGCTTGGGAACAAAAAAGCCCTAAAAATTTGGCCACCCCTGCCCCAAACGTGAGAGCAACAAGTTGATGAAATAGTTTTTGTACTATTTTCAACTAAACTTATATTTATCGATGAATTTTAAATTTCATAGTAAAATATTTTAGTATTCAAAAATTATGACCATGAAGTTTAACCCCCCCCCCCCCCCAATAATGATATAGTATTATATACTATAATACTATATCATTATTTTTTAAATATTATTTAGTATATGATTTAATGATGACATAATTATCACTATTAAATTAAAAATTATATAACCTGTGACTAAGACACTCGTCAAGTACTTACAAATTTTTTTTTTAGTTGTTAAAGAAGCTTGAAAGTTTAAATATGCTTGGTATAATGATGTTGCGTACTTAGTTTTACTATATTGAGAGTCTACTCAGCGACGGATCTAAGGGAGGGGGGGGGAGTTAAATGGGGGGCATACACCACCAGAATCTGAAAGTCATAAAATATCTAAGAAATTGAAAATCTTTTTTTTTTTTTAGGAGACGCAAAAGTGGTACAAAATACAAAAATATTTCAACATTATCCCTGCTGCACGAAACTACTCTTACTCAATAATATTTTTAAAACTAGTATAGTAAATTAGCACCAATATTTTAGGTATTTATTAATAAAAAGAATTAATTAATGAGGTGTTAACGGTAAAGTTGCTAATAAAGTATTAACGTCAAAAATAAAATTTCATATAAACGGAAGGCTCTGCATTGCAATAATCCGAATTAAATTAGTGTTTGAGATTTATTTGAAATTAAAAAATGTATTAAACGAGCACAAATGTTTTTTCTGAGATATAATAAAAGCGACTCCTTTAAGCTTTATGTAAATATGCATGAAAATTCAAAAAGTATAAATAGCTCAAAATAAACTCTGTGTACTTTATAAATTCATCTTAACGCAATTGCAATCAGATTTTATTGAAATTTGTCTTGGCTAACATTTAGTGCTGTAGCGTTGATATTGTTATCTGTCATCTATTTGATTATATTTTTACAATATTTATGTATTTTTTTTATAAATCTAAATAAATTATTTATCACAATCAAAAATGATTTTATTTATACTTCTTTAACTTTTACACTCTCCATATATTTTTTAAATAAATCAAGACAGATTTCAAATCCAATCGTTAACTGGCAAGTTGAATCAATTTACACAAATCTTTTTCAAAGGTACTTTTAAATTGTTATTTAAAAGTAACCACAACAAATATTTTCCCGGTAATTGCCAAATTATAGTTTGTATACTCTAAGAAAATGAACGTCACTTTGATGAATTAACTTTCTTTAGTAATAATTATATGAAAGGTTTCCGTTAAGTTAATGTTATTCACGCACAATATTCTATTCTTAAATGCTCAGGAGTAACCATTGTAAAACTCTTAGAAAAAAAATAATGATAAGAAATTAAAAAAAAAAAAGACAAGCTAATAAAATAAATCCACCTAAATGCATCTGGTCATAAGTCTAATTTACTATGGTCTTACATTGGGTTTATTCACAAATTTCCTGATCATAAACAGATAACTTTAAGATTTATGAAAAAAAATTTGTTAAGCCAAATTTACGGACTGTTATGTTTTTTGGGAAATGTTATGAGAGTGATAACCGTTTTAAAATATTAACTGCCGTTGATTTGACAAAAAATTAAGCCATTTCACTTTTTTTGGTTTCAAAGGTTCTGAGTCAAAAACTATTTTGAAAAAAGTAATATCAAAAAAAAAAATTAAATAAATCAATCATTAACTCTTTGAATTAATAAATTAATATATTAAAATGGAATTTGCAAAAAATTTTGTGAGCGATGTTTGGAGTTATAATAAATACACTTTTATAAATTTACAAAATGAAAAAATAATATTTATAACTTAGTTGTGCCTGTTGCTGCACCACTTCATCAGAGTTTACAGACAAAACTTTATTTTCATATGATGGTATTGCTTGTTAAATTTTGATTTATGAATAAACAAAATCAAATTCAAATAAACAAATGTAACAAATAATTGAACAAATAATAGTAATTAAAAATAAAGTAAACAAAAAGAGTTGAGAATCGTATAACCTTACCATATGAAAAAAAACAAAAATCTTTGGTGATTTGCCATCTTCTTTTTATTGAACTCTTTTTTTATTTTTATTTTCACTAAAAAGTAGGACAAAAACATAAACTTGGTTGTTATTAATTGCTCCAAATCCATCTTGCATTTTACCCTAACTTAACTTTACACCTTTAGCTAACTACACTTTGCACTTTTATCTAACTTCATACTGCACTTTTACTCTAACTCCGGATTACAGTTTTACCCTAACTCCATCTTTCATGTTTAGACTTAACTAGATGACTGCGTAACGGGTAAATATAAGTGTCAATTATTATGTTGATAGCATAAAAACAAGTTTAAAACTGACTAACAAAAACTTATAACATTATATAGGTAATTTTTTTTAAGAATAAAGAAAATCAGCGTCATTTCCCATGTATAAAAATAAATTTTCAAAATGCAGTTTCCCTTTAACCCTTCTGAATAAGTTTTGTCTGTAACACGTAATAATTGCTCAGCGGTAGATCAAAGGAGTATTTAAGCATTACTAAATAAGAAGCATTTGCCGATTACACATGGTAAAGAAGATTCGTTTTTCAAAATAAACGCATCAAGTTCCTGTACTGTAATTTTTTACACTGGCGTGACTTTGCATAATCTTTTCCGATAATATTTCCTCTTTTATTGCTTTTTGCTTAATTTTGTCTAGAAATTGTAAAAAAAAAAAGTTGTAAAAAGAATTTCAAATTATTTAATTTTTATAAACTATTGAAAAATTTTAGCAACAACCTCTCTAAACAAATTTAGCAACAACCGTTATAACCTTTTCTTTAAACAATGCAAAACAGCTGTACATAAAACAAAATTATGGTTCTGTTTATATATATATATATATATATATATATATATATATATATATATATATATATATATATATATATATATATATATATATATATATATATATATATATATATATACATAATTATTGGTAATTGAAAACTACATTTTTTATTGCTTAATGCATAACTTGTTTTAAATTAAACAATTAAATTTACAAAATACGGCCAAGCCCTATCTAATTATAAACATTTTGCTTTTAAATACAAAATATATTAAAAACTATTTAAAAATTTATATTTAAAAGGAATATTTAGTATGAAACATGACCTAATAAAATTCGGCAAATCAAGGTTAATATTTTGTGTATACGTTTACTTAGGAATTACTGAGTAAATATTAAGCATAAATCCATCCTTGAATTAGCACATAATGTGTAAAACAATAATGAAGGTGTTCAATTTTTTTTGTCCTTATATCTAAAAATAACTTCAAAAGTTTAAAAAAAAAATGCCAATTATGTTTTTCCTGTGAATTTTAATTTGATTTTTTAATTTTGGTTGATTTTTTGCTATTTATTTTCATTAACTTCATTTTCCTAATTTTGACGCCATATTTTCTTTGCATACTATAATTTCAAAAAAAATAGAAAAAGTCTCGTCTTTTATTTACTCCAACCGCAATAAGGCATTTGTTGCATATACAGATTATTTCATCCATTGATAATCCAAATTTAAAACCGCAATAACGAAAAATTAGACGAAAACTTTACAATAAATTTAAAATACATTTCTCTTTACACAACTTCTTAAGTTATTTCATACAAAAAGCAAACAAATCTGAAATTAAATAAACGGTATCTAAAACGACGAGATAATTATAAATTATTAGATAATAAAAGGATATTTATTTCTGAATACCAAAGGTTTTATCTTTACAACTTGCATATGCATGGTTGTTAATTAAAAATAATTTAGATCAAATATATATATATATATATATATATATATATATATATATATATATATATATATATATATATATATATATATATATATATATATATATATATATATATATAACTATTCCTAATATATACTAGATAAACACTTGTAAATGCGAGATTATGTATAAAAATATAAAAAAATAAGTGTAACATATACAAATACTTGAATTTATAAAACATCATCCAGCGTTAACTTTACTTTAAATTTCTTACTACTAGGTTTCTAACTATAGTTAGAAATCTATATATACGTATGTTATTAATCTAAAAATGGCTGCAGCAGCACGCTACAACTATTATTGCATGCCGCTACAATAATATAGCTTGGTTCGAGGTAGTAAAACTATTTTCAACAGTTGTTACCATAAACACTACTACAAATATACTTATCAAATATAGATAAAAATATACTTATTAAAGGTCGTTACTTATCGTTTTCAGATTGTTACTTATTGTTACTTGATCTTCACTTATTACAAACAATCGAACTTTAATGCAATAATTTCCATTATTCCAATTTTTTTTTTTTTATAAATATTTAAATTAGCGTTATCAGTATATTTTAGGTAAACGCGATAAGCTCATTAGTTGATGACAAATCTATGTAAGTCTTTTTAAACAAGTTTCTTTAGATAAGTTTAACTTTAAATAAGGATTTTGGGGCCATTATCGCCACATGAGTCCATTATTTATTAACTTGTTGTTACATATTAGCTTTTCGATATTATTAAAGTACGTTAGTGATGGGAGATTTGTATGAAGTGGGATTTGTCTATTGAAATTTTCATGACGTATAACTTCATGACAACCATTTTTGTAAAAAGTTCATATCAAATTTCTGTAAAATGTCATAAAATTCAATCGTGTTTATAAAAAAGCTAATTAAGCTTTTTTTTTATCGCTTTATTAAAAAACATTCAAATTTTTTTAACAACAAAATGATATACTGACAGATTATTCAACCCCTCCTCCACACGCTAATTGCGGGTTTAGTAAACATTTGTTGAAAAAATAACAAACTAGTTGCCAGGGCTCTCTTTACAAAAACTTATAGAAGTTGCTACAAATGGCACCAGTGCTGAAGACTGTTAAATGAATGATATGACAGATAAAGGATTGCACATCAGTACACAGAAATACTGAACAATAGTTGACATAAAAAATATTATAATAGTTAGAAAAATATAATTTTATAACTGTAAAATGTTTTTGCTGGTCTAACACAATTCTTTATCGTAAGTTGAAAATATTTCTACTTATGTATGACATTTAGCGCTAATATACTTATTCAAGAAATTGAAGACCGGCTTAAAGAAAACCTCTAACAAATATTTGTTATTTTAAATAAAAGTTGATTGTGAGCGGATGCATATTCAATAGATTTGGCGGAAGATTTAATGGATTACTATTATATTTTGAAAGAAACTGTATAAGTTTTTTTTTTATGTGCATGAATCTAGTTTTAATTTCGGCGGTGACACAGCGGCGCTGTTTGAAATCTTTTATGTGATCAGGCTTGGTATGCAAAAAGATTAAATGCGCTATAAGCTATTTTATTTATATATATATATATATATATATATATATATATATATATATATATATATATATATATATATATATATATATATATATATATATATATGCATATATATATATATATATATATATGTATTTAAAATATTATATATATATATATATATATATATATATATATATATATATATATATATATATATATATATATATATATATATATATATATATATATATATATTATATCATTTAGTAATTAATTCTTTCTTATAAAGTATTTTTCAAAAATTAAAAAAAAAAAAATTTAAAAAAATCAGTATTCTTACCTAGCTACCAACAAAAATATGCATAATAATTAATTTAAACATGCATTATCACTACCTCAAGGCAACCGCTTTTTCATCAAAAAATATTTGGTAATCTTTAACTTATAACTTAAGGACTAAGTTTCCGTTTTTTTTTTATTGTTTACCGCCGAAGATTATTTTTTCTTACTTATTAACAAGTACCTGATTGATAAGTTCATATACCACGAGATCTCATAAGCAAATATTAAAACCGTTATTTCATTTTTTTAAGATGATTTGTGGATTATAAAAAAATATGCTACAATTCGATTTGCATTTATTTTATAACAATGTTCAGTTGAGCACGTTGAACAAAAACACGAAATATCATCATGCAGATACTTTTTAGGCGTTTTACTGTTGATATGTTTGGAAGTTAGCATGATTTGTGTCAAAAATAAATAACAAAATGTAATTTCAACATTGTGTAGCTTTAAATCTATGTAGGAAAAAAGTTATTGAACAGTTAAAAAACTATTCCGTTTTTTTTTTTTTTTTTGTTTATTTGCCGATTTTAACGTGCAACTGGATCCAAAACGGATTTACGATGATAAAGTTTTTTATTCGATCCACGATTTTATATAGGCTTGTGTTCAAATAAACTTCAAGTTACCGTTAAAGTTTAATAATAAAAAACTATGAACTTTTTAAAAACTTTTTCAATTGATTTTTAGCTATTAATTTTATTTAGATCTTTATTATAGATTATGCTAAAATTATGAAATTGTTCTGTTAAAATTGATTTGGACATGGAACATATTTTGACATAAAACTGATTCGGTAAATTTACAAACCTGTTATTCTTAAACAAACGATAAAAAGAACAAAATGGTAGCGAAACGATAACAATAACGAAGCGATAACGATAACGAACAAACGATAATAAGACCAGTACTCACTAATTTCCGCACATACAAACCTGTTGATTTTTAACAACTTACAAACTAGCTAATTTTTTCTTATTAGTTTTATCGTTTTAAACTTTGGTTTAAAAAGGGTTATTAAAATATCTTTATTAATTTTTTTGTAATAAAATTTGTAGTTTACGATTATAATTTGTCATTTATAATTTGCGATTTAAATTAATAAGAACATGGTAGCTATAGTTTTTAAAGTTGTTAAAGGGTTTGTAAACCATTCTTATGAAGAAATAATATCTAAAAACGATTCAGTAAAGCTACTAAATACAACAATTTTCAGTAAATAACACATTTTCTTTTTCTTTGAATTTGGCATTTTATCCAATATAAACAAATATAAAAAAGTATATCGCATAGTATTAAAATAAAAATTTGACACTAAAACTAAAAATAGAAAAAAAATAGAGGAAAAAAGTATTTAAAAAATTGTAGTTAAATATTTTGGTGGTAGAAAATTTTCCTTTAAGATTTTTTTTTTTAAATATTTTCATTTTTTGTTTCAAATGTGTTGTAACCCAACAAGAATTTTGACGTTAAGATGACGTAAAAATTAGGGTATAACTATTTAAGGCCTTATATAACTATAACCTCATTTTGACGTCATCTTACTTATCATCTTATTTATCATCTTATTTATTATAAAAATCTTGTATTAAAAATCATTTTTAGTATTTCATAAATTAAGTATATCAAATGAAAATTATTTTTTAGTAATTCATAAATTAAAACAGTCCATTTTTTGATATGTTTTTAATACGTTTTACGTAAACATACTCATGTTTAACAATAGTGGATATATTTATTATGGTATTTAACATCTGTAATCACTAGCACGATAATACCGAGCCCGTTAGTATCATTACCGCGGTATTACCGGCATTTTCATGGTAATAAACATCAGATTTAGAAAATTGAAGTCGCATTAAAAAATGTTAACAACGTATAATTTTTTTTATATTTTACCATTTTATATATATATTTTTTTAAATGACCATTACTGAAATACATGTTATTGTTTTTATTTTACTTAAAACACATGTTTCCAACTGAGAGTAGCAAACATGTATTTTAAGTAAAAGATCTTCTAAAGTAGTTTCAATAACGTATGCTGACAAATTTATGGTATACATACTCCAATGCATAGATTAAATCGGAGTCATCAACTTTCAATTTCAACGCTTCAATCACAAATAAATTATATTTGAAATGGAAAAGTTTGAAAAAACAAGTTTTGCTCTTTGTAGTGTTGCAAACGTAAAATTTATTGGAAAACTTTGTAAGTTTTTATTAAAAACAAAGACGATGTTAATTGTTGATTAAAATATATAGTTTCCAAAGAATTGTTTTATCACATGTAATATGGCTATTAAAATATATACTTTGTGAAATTTGTTTAATCTACTGACTATTCTTTTATACAACTTGAGATCAAGTCTATTTTATGTAAATGTAATGAAAAAAGTTTGGAACAAAATGGCAAGAATGTAGCTAGACTGGTGCAGCCAGTACACCGCAAGTATGTCGCTGAGTAAAAATTGTAAAAAATATATAAATTTAAAAAAGAGCATTTAGCTTAAAATAAAAAAAAAATCGATCCTAGGTAAAACTCTATAACTTAGATTTTTATTTACTTTTTGATCCCCAGTCAATATAACAGGGTCTTACATTGGACATCTGCGTTTTTATTTAGGGCAACACGGCGCAAGATTACTAGCGTTTCGGAAAACGCTTATATCTTATTCAATAACTGTCCCAAGTATTAAAATTTGATTTAGAAGTGATAAAAAATCATTCTTTGTCACTGATGTATCAAAAAACCACTCTAAAAGTTGAAAATAGCCCTGCATACGGGGCAAGATGACGATTTGAGTTAACAAAGTTTATGACTTTAAAAAAAGAAAACTAATTGCAACTATAAACGCCTCAAAAACCACCATCACAAATTCTTGTTTATAAAAAAAATAATATAAATATTATTTAAGATATTATTTAACAAGTTCTTGTTTTTTAAAAAAGTAATACAAATAGTATTTACGATATTATTTTAAGTTATTTTATAATAATTTTGCCTGTTATTTTAAGTTAGAAACAACATTTTAGTCAACAAAATTTAAGTTAACGAAATAATATTTATATAGTTATTAGTAAAACATGTGTTGTGATATCCACTTGTCCGTCATCTTACCCCGGTCATCTTGCCCCAGGCTAATACAATCTTTAAAATGATTCAGAACTATACATAATCAAGTTTTCATAGCCTAATACTTCTTCTATGGCTTCCAGATTAATCAAACTAAATAAAAACCTTTAGCTGGTGATGTAGCAATGAAATAAAAGTCAAACGAGGATAAAAATTTTTTTCTTAACGTCGGAAAAACATTTTCAATACTCAACGTTCGTCACAAAAATAATATTTAAAAAGAAAGCATTAATAAATCTAGTAAATATAATCTACTTTTCTTTCAGCTAAAGTCAGCTGTTATGTTTAGTTTTGTTTAAAATATAATGGTAGGTCGTCATCTTGGTCCATTTTTCATCTTACCCATGTTCCCGTAATGCTCTTTAATGAAGGGAGTTTATTATTTTTGACATACAAACCAAAAAAAAGGAAGCAAACATTACATTTTGTTTACATCGTTTATTTTCAGTGAAAAATTAAGAGAAGTATTTTAAAAGGATGTATTGAAGTGAAGGTAGAGTTAAAAACGTTTGCTTGGTTGAATATTAGGTTCCATACCCAGTTTGAAACCCCAAGTTGATTTGGACAACGTCTAAGTGCTCAAAGCAAGTAATCTTCGTCGGTTGGGTTGAAGTCGTGGAAACAACTCATTGTGTACAAGTGCAGCAAATGCTTCCCTAAAGTTTTTTTTAATTTTTTTTTTTTTTTAAACGAAAATTTACTCTTTTAGATTTAAAAGTTACCAGTAAATTTACATAACTAGATCTTTGTTATAAAAAAAATATAATCAATGAAGATAATTTAGTGTCCGACTAAATTAATTATCCATTCAATTCGAATAAAGATTCAAATACAAGTTAAATAAAGATTTTGTATTATAAGAGCGAAGTTATATAACGAATAATATCTTTCAAATTGTTTAAACCATATTAACAATTAAGTTAAACTAAAGGTTAAGAAAAATAAATACCTAAAACGCCAAAGATGTCCACCTGAAATCGAGGATAATAAATAAATAAATGTAATGCTGATGTAATGTCACGTTATTGAAGTTAATTTACAATGCATAAAATAAGGGTTTAAATAAAAACAATTACGCAAAAAGTTTAGTTCTCCAGCGAAAACAAAAGAGATTGAGCTCTTAGGTTGAGTTACAAGTTAAAAAACATATAACTACATTAAAGACTGAAATGAAATCAGAATTTAAAAAAATTCTCTAAGAAGCAAAAGTAACAAATCAAAGTATAAGAATA